AGCAAAGAATAATTAACTTGGAAATGATTTTATGATTTAAGTATTAAACAATTTAAATTTTAATATTTCGAGGCCCAGTTTCTCAACAAAGTTAGAAAAACCACTTGGAATCGATGGCAAAAGTGACAAAATCCAAATTTATATCATTTGAAGTTTAATTGTAGAGCGACTTTGGGGTAAACATTTTAAATTCAGCTTTCGGGGGCCATTACTCGAGAGCAAAAGTATCATAGAGCGAGAGAATACTTGACAATTGATAGAAAATTATGGCGGGACTGACGACATTGATCCGCGCAAGTAGATTACGACGGACTTGTAATTCAGAATTGCGATCAGCACGATGTTGTCGCTCGCAGTTGACTCTACTAACTGGAGATAACTGCTCTTTAATCACGTTCCGTCTACCTCTTCTAGATCACTACGATCAGCCATTCGGGCAGCTCAATCTGGCGCACCGACACGCCGCCTTCCTCGAACGCGCCAACGACATGATTTCAGCAAGCTGCATCGTAATTCACGATTCCATTTCGCTCCTAAACGTCTCTTAATGTTCTCCCACCCCACTGCCCCTCGGAAAGGAAACGGAAATAAAAGTACACATCGATCCACGTACGCGTTAAGTGAGGAGTTCTTCGAGGGAGGCGACGCGGGCCTCTCACCGGTAGAGATTGTTAGACCTTTACTACGAGTGTTATAAATAGAGAATTCGTTCGACGATGAAAGTAATTAATGAAATCGCGCGGAGTATATATATACACACATATATATATACACACATATATAGATTATTATGCGCTTACCGAATGATTTGTGATAGTGGTTGGACCCGGGGAAAGGATTGAACTGTTTTTCAGCCGTCCGTAAAACTCGAGGCGGAGCGAACGCACTATTTTGATCCCGGAGCAGAGCGTTCGTTCACCGTTTCGCCGACCGAGAACTCGTTGTTCGATGAATGTTATCGGAGAGTTGGCAATAATTACGTGTAAAAAAAAAAGGGTGCGCCGTTGCCTCGGTGCGCGGGGAACGGTGAGTTCCTCTGCAGTTTTTAATTCATATCTACAATACTCGCGAATATCACTTCTTTGATTTCTCGCGCGGAAAGAGTCGAGCCAAAATCGAGCAAAATAAAAAAAGGTTTGCAACTGAAAAATTGTGAAGCATCCTCTTCAGTGAAAATTACATTAATTCTCGTTCTCGCCTTTCTCTCGAAATAATAATGCGGAATTCATTTCCAGGGCTTTTCATAAATGTAAATCCCGTTAAGCCTCGTAAACGGGAACTCCCGAAAGTGTTGCGATAATAATTTGTAATATTTACCAATATTGTAAACGGTATCGATATGCCAATATCTCCGCTCTTCAAAGTTCCATGAAAAGAGGAATTCTGGTTGTTGGAGATGTTTGATACACGTTGATTTTGACGAGTACTCGTAGGTACGAGTTAAAAATCGAAATAGCACTTCGCCCGCCTCTACGTGTAAATCAAACAACGCCGGTGGAAATAGATTGCGAACGCAACGATTTAGTGTGATTGGTAGGATAAAGTTAGTTGCGCGATTGTTTATTGTTTCGATGATATAACCCAGTGTTCTTCTGCACGGTCGCATAAATCTTCGTTCGATTATTATTTTCGAGAGGCTTCGTTCAAATGCCATTAACATTCTAATTGTTAGAATTCGACATGTCCCAATCATCATTTTACTATCATTGAACTGTAGCACTTGCAATTAAGCAATTTATAGATTTTTAAATGGGGTAAGAGATATTTCTTGGACCTACTTTCGATCTCTAAAAATACTAAAGTGTACTGTGGAATAAATCAAACGATTGCACTGCCCTGAAATTTAATTCTGACCATGTAAAAAAAATATATTATCAAACATATGAACGTGTAAAGAGTAGATGGATTAGAAAAGAATTAGAATTTATTTCGATCCTCGAATCTCTAATATGAAAATCAAAAATTGTCTTTGCGGTAACTGCGCGCTTTTTTAGTGCATCTTTTTTTTATTCCGTTCATTTCTTTCATTCCCCGCGAGGAGGATACAATCAGGAATTATAAATCCTCCATTGAAAATTAAAATGAACTCTTGTCGGTTTCATTTATTTGCGTGAAGTCACGAGGTGAAATTGAAGCAGATTCGCAAATTAAAAAATTGTCTAACTTTAGAAATGAAATATCGACAGACAGAATATCACGGACTTGAATTTCTTTCGATATTTTAACTCGTCTACCTTTACAAAGTACCGCGTACGTTGGAGGAAAAAGCGACGTTCGTCGACGGGCTTTGACGTTATATAGCAACGGGAGAAATGTCTTTTTTTTCTCGCTCTTCGGTTTTATAGTTACCCGCTATCTGTACAGTACTCGCTTAGCGTAGGCCGTTTTATTCGGAACGAGCATTATAGAGTTGCTGATAGAGCAGCGTAGAAATCCGAGAACGTGGATGAAATGGAAGATCGCGATCGGTCATCGAACGCAACGAATCCTCGCGAGCTTCTCGTCGGAATGAAAGGCTTGAGGAGGCCGGACGAAACGACGATCACCTCCGATAATAATGATGGCGATGATGAAGATGGAATCCTCATTGATAGCTTCGTCACTTCGCAACACTTCGAGAAGACTGAGCGAAGCGCAGGATTTGTAATGCGCAAAGGTGCCATATAACAGAGACGGGCTTGTCTTTTATTTGCGGTTTGTGTAATCGCAAATCGACCCTACGGTGTTTATTATAGGCGTCCCGAGTCAAGTATTTGGTCCCGGGCCTCGATTATTCTATTCTGTCTTCGTTTGGACCTCGGAATCGGTTTAAAACTCCAATTTGAGGTCCAGATGAGTAAAAAAAAAGTGTTTAACATCATTCTAACTCTCAAAGAGAATGCAATAAAGTATTTCATCCTCTTTGAAATTTCTTAGGCCGAAGACGATCTACTGAACCTCTGTTCATTGCAATCGCATTGGCCTCTTTGCTGCTGAAAGGGAAATAGCGACTCTTTTCAGGCCTATCTCAGGTTAACAATTCAATATATTTTCTCCGACACAAAGACCTTAGTTCGATCTCATTGCTCCCAATTTAAAAGTTATACGAGGTCAAAATATTCGACTCGGGGTACCGCTGAACTCGCGTCCAAGATCGTTGTACGTCGTATGTTAGCGTTGTTAAAAATCGACGATTATCTAGAGAAATGATTTCATGCCTTGTTGGGTGAGACATTTGAACGAAAGACGAGTCTTCACGCGTAAGCACGAGAAGCGCCTTGGGAAAAAGTTACAGTGTTTGACACGATGAACATATTATACTGCGGCTGCGTTCCGATATTCACCGCCAGTATTACTGAAAATCTATAGCACGCGTCAGTGAGTATCGGAACACTGCCTATATTTACCTCAATAAATAATGTAACTTTTCTCTGACGAGTCTTTTCACATGTCCGCGTGTAATTAACGGAAATCCAGACGTTTCTGTTTTAATGTCTCGCCCTGTTTATAAAAGAAAGTAAAAATTGTGTTCCGAGCAATGAAAAGAACTCTCTTACAACTTGTTTCTGTTAATATTAATTAAGAGTTTATCAAAATACGGGCTTTATAGTTGACTGAGACGTATTTCACAGTCAAAATACTTGTTCTAGTATTGGTTTTAATTGAAAATAAAGCCGTAATTTTGTACGATGTGCCAGAGGTATCCACAAAGGAGAGCAAGAGAGGACATTATTTCCTCCCTAGAAAACTTAGCAAAAAAAATTAAAAATTTACTCTTCCTTTAATAAGGAGGAGAGATGCTGCACACAAAACTGAAACATTTGCTCTTCTTTGATAAAGATAAGAGATTGACATACCAAGAGGTGCATAAATTTGAATTTGTAAGTAATTTAATTTTGAAAGTCTGAATCATGTCCCTCCCTGGGAAAAATCCTGCGGACACCTTTGCGATGTGCGATCGGTGCCATTACTAAGCGGTATGCAATGTACGCTCCAGCGTAGGGCGCGAAATTTGGAGGGACGCCTAAGGTCCGGTTTCACCAACGTTGTTTAACTTTAAGCTTAGCTTAAAGTTTAACTTTAAGCTTAGCTTCATTCGTTTTTTGTCTCTTTTGAACTGTTACTTTAGAAAGAGACAAACATGAATTAAACTAATTGTAAGATCAAAGTTAGGCAACGTTTGGTGAAACCGGGCCTAAGCATGTTGTAACGTCACCGTCGGTGTCGTTACTAGGCGGTATGCAATGACGCTCCAGCGTAGGACGCAAAATTTGGAGGAGCGCCTAAAGTCCGGTTTCACCAACGTTGCTCAAGCTTAACTTCATTCGTTCTTCGTCTCTTTTCAACTGTTACTTTAGAAAGAGACAAGCACGAATTAAACTAATTGTAAGATCAAAGTTTGGCAACGTTTGATGAAACCGGGTCTAAGCACGTTGTAACGTCACCGTGTGCGATATAACAGAGTTCGAGTATTGAGTAATACCTTGCCTGTTCGTTAGATCGCTTTAAGCATTCAGATGGAATTCGAGAAAACAGACATTGATGATTGTGACGTAGGGAATCGCGCCCGTCTCTGACATATGAGTTTACAGTGGGAGTGATGTGAGAAAAGAAACGTTTTAAGGGAGAGAGAGAGAAAGAGAGGAATTGGAATTGCTACTTTTTCTCTCGTCTAATTTGTTAGCAAAAGAATGGTGAGGACAATTTACATCACTCTCATTCTGATTGACTCGTAAGATCTGTAGCGCAAAAGCAACTGTTGTTCGAACGAATTCGATATTGTTGTTGTATAGTGTAACCACCACGCCTCGTCTCACCGAGGGACGAGACGTGGCCAAAAGCCGACGTCGATTGTAATAAGGAGCAACGCGTTCGCGTTAATTAACTACTCGTATCCCTTTCTTTTTGTGTTAAGGATAACGTTTAGCAGTGTTTAGTATGAGAACTTCGCCGATTGATATTTACCTTCTTAAAAAAAAAAACGAGTGCCGAACAATGCAAACGTGAGAGAAACGTTGCGAAAGCGCGTAGAAAACTTACGTTGATCTTTCGAATGTCGTTTGTTAGTGGTATTTTGACGTACATTATGCGTTGCCCTACAAATTCCGGATAGCACCGATCCGCGAGCAATTTTTATATACAATTTTATATTATTTACATTCTATTTTTTTAATCACACAATACGCAGAGACTCCGTTTGCATTTAAAATCTTTGTCATTGAATCACTTTTCCCGAAATAGTAAGTAATATAACGCACTATCGATTAACAGACTCCACTGTATTCGCTCAATGTCTCAAACTATACGACGTAGATGTTAGAGGAATCAGAGATCTCACATTCACCAGGATGCGGTGGTTTAAGAGAGAGGAAAAAGTGGAAGAGCGTATAAAGAAAAATGCCTGCCTCCCCTCCCCCCCCCGTTAACGATAAGCTGATACTTGGTGTCACAATGATTAAAGAACGAGAGTGCGTAAAGCGTAGAGGTATTTTTTATATATAATATTGTATATTTATTTATGATTTTTTCGTACTCTTTCGATCGTACGTTTAGCATGAGACATAGCCATCTAGCTTTAAGTTGTACGAAGAAAGTGATCCGTATGCATTGCATGAAAAAAAAAGACAAACAGTTTTTTCGGATGCGACAGAAGACAAGTACGGCGACAAATAAGCGAAAATATGAAAATATTGATGTGTTCTGACGTATGCGAGCTTTCTGGTTCACTTTAAACGACGAGATTATTGTCCCTTTGATAAAAGTCAACGATTAAATATGTTCGAACGGCTCGACGTGAGTCGGGGCGTTCTATTTGTAATCTAAATTTTAAAATACTCCGTAAAGTAATAATAGCGAGAGCAGTTCGCGGCTCTCGCGTACGTGAATAATAAGTAATAATAATAAAAAGAAAAAGAGGGAATAAACGACAGTGGCGGTAGCTGTGCGCCAAAATCAGAGATTCCGTATTTTGTCAGATAACTATAATTATTATTGCGCCAGTGTAACATAAGACTTTGATATATATTGTTAGTATGCATCGTGTGGGTATTACAGAGAATAAATTTAAATATAAAACATACATCAAATATACGAGCATACGCATATGTACACGTGTGTTTGTGTGTGTAAAGGATAAACTTAAGATACTATGTAAACACAATTTCAAAAACAACTTTTAATATAGATTTACTTGTGTAAAATATAAGGAGAACTAATTGTGCTCAATAAATTTCAATAAATAACGATTTTGCCTATGCCAATAACTATCATTACTGACTGCAGTTATTTTCATGTAGGCTGCATCGCCGGGACATGCAGATATGACAGACGGGAAAAATTGAAACTAGATAAACTTTATGATATATGTTTATTTTATTCTACTTACTAGACAACACAAGCGCGCACCATTTGCTCTCTCTCTACAAAAATTCGCATGATTTAACAGCTGCAAATAACACGACTGAAGCGTGTCTTATCGTACAAGCGTAAAAGCCAATAACCATCTCGGAAAAGCGACAATACTTCGAGACTTTAGACTATCGATTTAATACGCCTTTTTTTATATAGGAAAATCTGACTATGTATTTCGATTTTAACCTATGGCAGCACGCGTGATGTTGATCACATGTTAGAATAGAAAAAGTGGAGGTAACTGGCATAGTCCATAGTTACATAGTCAAAGGCGGGCACTATTGAAAAGAACCAGGGTTGGGTAAGTTACACCCTTTTATTAAACTAAGTTAACAGCTTTGAAAATTTATCTTAATTAAAATACAAATTAACCCATAATGAAATATATTGAATTAAAAGTTAAGTTTGTTCTACTTTTACACAAAATCTTATACTCGTAATCACGTAAATTGCGTTTGATTTCACAACCAGTGTTTGGACAACCAATCACACTACATAAAATATGGTCCGTTTCATAGGCAAGCAAATTCGCATGAGTTCGAGAATCAATCCCATACAGCACCAAACATTTCAGAAACATTGCAGATTGCAATGTAATATTGCAGAGACAATTCAGAGACATTCAAATGTAATATTTCGCCGACAATGTTTCAATAACCTTGTAGAAATATTATAAAGTTTGCAAAATATATTTGTAACGTATTATAATATTCTTTAGATTTTTCAAATTTATATTATTTCTCATATATTCCAAACGCAGCCTAATAGCATGTACAGCAACGCTATTTAATAGTCTCGTAATTTCCGATATTGCCGGTATCGGTCTTCTTCGTCCACGTTGTCCATGTTCAAAGTGTATCTTCGCGACCTCCAACGTGTCTCTTAACGATATCACTCTAAAATCTAATCTACAATGTGCTCTCGGTATCTAGAAACATTCTATTTTGTAGTCACTAAATACATTTAAAAAGTTTGCGCAAGTGAATGAATTGTATATTATATACTGTACGATCGTACATTGTCGACAAATTTTTTAAGCGTTTCGATTTGTTTATATAAAATAGAATGTTTCTAGATGCAGAAAGCACATTGTAGATTAGGCTTAATCCACGGTAATTTCTATTCCTATATAAATATATTAAAATAAATCACAAATTTGATAAGAATTTAATAATATGTAAAGTACTTCAGATTTTAATAAATGAAGTTTGAGAATATATGTATGATCCGATAAGAATAATGTTGCAAATTTTTCTTATATATTTCTTGGGTGTCTTTACATTCTCAAATTTTATTTATCAGGTGATTCGATAAGTTCGTTTCAAATTTCCCATGTATTACACAGGAAATTTAAAACAAAATTAAAACTCTCCGAACAACCTATTCAAATCTTAAGTACCCTGTATATTTATATAAATAACGCATAATAAAATCAATATTATAAATACATTGCACCGTGTCATTGTTGCAATGTTACATTGTAATATATCTGAGGGAGGACATTTCAATGTTGCTTCAAGCTTGCAGCAACCACGTTGCTGAAACATTTCGCAACTTCCATGCAATGTTACAATGTTGGTGTATGCAATGTTTTTGCAATTTTTCGGTGCTGTATGGGAAAGTCCCATCTAATGGTAAAAGTAACGTCATATGTAATTGGAGGTAAGTACGACATATGCCAAAGCTTGTACGCTATTTACGTTTACACTTGCGTCTTTGTTAAGAGCTATTACGTTGCTTTGTGCTCTGACCCTAAAGGTCTTCATACACCAATCTACTTATCACGTAATATGTGAACCCCTGGTCCATAATCTTGCTTTAAGTAAGCTGTAAGCCTTAAGCCGCAAAAAATCAACCAATTACCGGCATTTGTTCCCCTCAAGCTCACCTGTGATTCTTATGGCTTAAGTCCCAGTCTACAATAGCTGATTTAAGCCCCAAGCTTTAAGAAATTGGCCAATCACGACCAAGTATGAGTAGAATACGCGACTGTGATTAGTCAATTTCTTAAGGCTTGGGGTTTAAATCTCTATTGTAGACTGGGACTAAGGCTTACAGCTTACTTAAACCAAGATTGTGGACCAGGGGTTACACGACTACAACAGTACGAGGTAAACTTATCCCTTGGAGCATCAGTACCAGCCATTTGTATTTACGTAGCTTGCTACAGACTTTGATACCTTCACTGCCTTTTGGTCGGCACATACGGTGGAGGTGGAGGTTGAGCCGGCCGTGATGCCGACGGCTGTTGAGCCAGCCATGATGTCAGCGGCTCTGGACCCGGCCCTGACCCCGGCGGCTGTTGTATCGACCCTGTTGCTGGCGACTGCTGAGCCGACCCTGTTACCGGCTCTTGGGCCGACACTAATGCCAGCAGCTGTTGATCCGGCAGTAATACCGGCGGCACATACAGTAGAGGTTGAGCCTGTCATGATGCCAACGTCTGTGGAGCCGACCTTGATGCCAATTGCAGCATACTGGGCTCAACACACGTTGAGCCGGTAGTAATACCGGCGGCACATACAGTGAAGATTGAACCCGCCCTGATGCCGGCAGCACATACGGTAGAAATTGGGCCTGCCG